ATATATATATATATATATATATATATGTATATATATATATATATACTATTCTTGCTTTATTCCTGCTAATACTCCATCTGTCTGCTCATGTGGCCTGAACACAGCCGAGTGAACAAATCAGAGTGGACTGTCGAGGAAAAGCACTGATGCGCAGCGTGCTTAAAGATCTTTAGCAGCTTATAATGTGAGAAAGTAAACATGAGGAGAAATTTTAGAAAAAAACAATAAAATGTGAGGAATGGAACAGAAAGACTGGTTGGATGTGTTTTACATGGACTCGCTGTCTTCCTTCCTCTTGCAGGCAACACTGATGCTAACACAGGGTGACTGTGGCTGGAGGGGAGACGGGTGGGTGGAGAGAGGGTTGACAGAGATGAAGGATGGAGGTAGCATGAGAAGTAATTCTTCAGAATTGGTCAGTCTCATCCTCCACATCCTCCTGCTACCACGCCTGATAAGAACAGCGTGCAGGCCGAGTGGGGAAGGGGGAGGGGAAATGCATTTAAATATGAGCATATTTCAGGAAATTCTGGTTTAGTTTAAAGTTATCAGCTTTTAATTAAACCAGCGAGGGGTCAGCTGCAAACAGGCTCCAAATATAATTAATACCGTTAAGCTAAATTCATCATTTTGAGTTCCATAAGATTCATTATTTGTTGAGCATTCTATTTATTTGTTATTTTGTTATTTGTTCTACAGCAGGTTCTCCTCAGATGGCCAGTATTTGATGCTGACCTTCACTTTAATCAGTTTGATTCAGTTTGCCGAGCAAGAGGCCGGAGCCAGATGCAGCAGTGCCCTCATCAAATCTAATGGTGGAATATATTCAGGCTGTATCTGAATGCCACGCTGATTACAAGCTTACAGACTTTTATTCGCCTGCCCTGCATAACCTCGTTTTTTTTAATCCTTGAAGCTCCGTGAAAACAGCTCGCTGTGCAATTTACTGTGAACAAGCGGAGTATGAAAATGAAAAAAAAAAAAAGGTATATAAAGAACTAGATAATTGGTCCTCTATAGAAATCATGAAAGGCCGTGACTTTCAATCACTTCTTTATTTCCTCCTTTAGCCCTTCTCTTGCTTCTCGTGCACCTTCTTGGGGAGCATGAGAAGCTCCTCAAAAAGGATGCATCGCCTCTCTCACATTGACTGATGTTGATGTTCATGAGTCCACCATCAGGAGAACTCTGAACAACAACGATGTCCATGGCAGGAGTGCAAGGAGAAGTCACTGCTCTCCAAAAAGAACATCACTGCTCGTCTGCAGTTTGCTAAAGATCACATGGACAAGACAGAAAACTGTTGGAAGAATGTTTTGTGGACGGATGAGACCAAAATAAAACTTTTTTGTTTGAAATAAAAAGTGTTATATTTGGAGAAAGTAAAACTCTGCATTCCTGCATAAGAATCTTTTCCCATCTGTGAAACATGGTGGTGGTAGTATCATGGTGTGGGCCTGTTTTGCTGCATCTTGGCCAGGTCGGCTTGCCATCATTGATGGAACAATGAATTCTGAATTATATCAGAGAATTATAGAGGAAAATATCAGAACATCCGTCCATGAATTGAATCTCAAGAGCAAGTGGGTCATGCAGCAAGACAATAGACAATGACCCTAAACACACAAGTCGTTCTACCAAAGAATGGTTCAAGAAGAATAAAGTTCATGTTTTGGAATGGCCAAGTCAAAGTCTTCACTTGAATCCAATCCAGATGTTGTGGAAAATGTATTACAAAACAAAATGTATTACTAAGTAGTTTTCACATGGATAACTGATAACCAATCTATCTTTGTGAACCCTAGACTAGATATAAGCTGTGGTTGTGTTAGTTTGTCCTTTCTTCTCTGCTTTGGAGATGATTCATCCAAATGTGCCCTGTAGGAGAGCCTGTATCCTTCCTATAAAATTTAGAACATTATATATGCCGTCCCCCACTGGCATTTTGAACAGCAAGGTCCCTCGTGCGCAGCTGCAGAGGCCATTGTCCACTGAATAGATAACCACTCTGTGACTGTGGCCCCTCCTGTGTGACACTGAGAGAGACAAAAACAAAGTGGCACTGCCTCACTCTGATGCTCCTCTGTGTTGGAGACAAAACTGTTTAAGGAGATGTGTGACTAACGGTGACTGCATGAGGACGCTGTCAGCAAAGGTGCCTGAAGGCTTTTTTAACCCGTGCATGCGAAGACACTTGACCTGGAGTGCCTTGGCAACCTCCTTCCAGCGGGTCACTGATAAATAGGGTGTGGAGGAGCATGAGATCATTAAACACACCCAGCACATCCTGGGAGGGACTTTGCATTTTTATAAGATAGCATAAGAACAATGTGGCCTTCGGGGTGCTGTGTCAGGCTGCTCATTAATTAAAGGGAAATAGCCTTTAGTGGTCCCCCTGCTCATTACTGCATGGTCCACCTGCACCTGCGCTCGTGAGGTTTACCAAATAAGGTCATGCGGTGGCCTCACTGGGATGACGCTGGTCGTGGAATGGACAGAACGAGGGATACAGACAGCTGAGACCGAGGGGAACCACCGGCTTAATGTGCTTACATAAGAAGCCTCTGCTGATTGTCTGTGCGATAATCCTCTGAACTGTGCACGGAGCAGCGGAATGGGACACGCGCGCACTTGTAGCTCCTATAGGTGCAGCAAGAAACGGCTGTGAAAGATCTCAGATATAAGCGTTGATAGTCTCTGCAGAGAGGCTGCCTTTGCCTCGTGCTGCAGCTGGCGGCTCGCGCCGTTCGAAGCCGTGACGATTCCTGCTGACGCGCCACGCGCCGCACCACCCAGAGAGGACAGCGTCGGAGCCAGCCTGGACACCGGACTCATCTATTTTTTTTTTCCATCTCCCTCCTTCCTTAACGGCTGTTTGCCAAGTCATCCCCTCCTCCCTCTCACCAGAGAATCAAACCATCCAGCAGCATCACTCAGACTCAGCATCAGCAGAGATGGAGGTACCGGGTTTGGCGCACAGCATCACCAGTCCATTAAGTCCCTGCGAGGGCATGATCAAGGACCTGAGCCTGGATTCTATACAGCTCTGCGAACGAGATGGTGAGTGTCTGCTTTTTAAAATATATATATATATATTATTGGTTTATATTAAGACAGAAATGTTTAAGCTGAACGCCAGCATGTTATTCGGCCCAGGTGGTTAAACATGAGCCGCTGCAGCGCGTGCTTCATGTTTTAGCTGCATGCTCCATCCTTATTGCATGAAGGGGATGGATCATTGAAAGCAAGTTCTAGTATAATATTGTCAGTGGCAAGCAGCTTTCAGTGTTAAAGAGTCATTTTTCTGCAACAATGTGCAAAAGCAAGAGGAGTGTCAACAGACCTCAGCACAGGCGTGGACAGAGCAGGCACGCGCCTACAGCTTATCATCTTCATCTTTTTTATTCAACCAACTCCCCTTTTTCTTTTCAATATTCATTTCAAAACCGGTTTATCCCTCTATTTTCATTGATTTTTATTTATTTTTATTTGCCATGTCCTCTAGCTGCGTCCCTGCTGGCCTGTCTGTGCCTGACTTCTTCCCTAAACTCTGAACTTGTCTGAATATTTACAACATCAACAAGAGGACAATGAGAAATGACACGATCTGCAAATATCACGTGGTCAGGATCATCACGTTGAGATGAAAACGAGGAATTTTCTTTTTCAAATCAGGCGACATGTGAGGCTGCATGAAAAAAGCAAGTCATCATCAGAAGAGAATGGAAAGCTAAAACATGGCTGCACCCACATGTGTGCACATAGTGTAGTTACACACACACACAAACACACCCATTAGTGCAACTACACACTTGTGATTCCACATCTGAGGCTAGACTTATGGCCACAGAGTAAATTAACTGCAGATTAATTAAGGCCGTGATGAATGGTCTCGTTTTCCCAAAACAGAATAATTTGTGATTTCTTTGGAGTGGAGGTTCAGAACAAGAGGAGTCCGTTAGTTTCATTAAGCCACCCATCAGGACCATTTGATCACAGAGCAGTCAAAGTGCGTCAGTGCTTCGTTTTCTCATCAGCCAGGCTGCTTCAAACGGTGCAATAAACAAAGATGGATTTTAGATCCTCTTAGAAGTTCATCATGAGGATTAGAAGCTTTCATTTCAGTAATGCACTTGTCAAATGGACAATATGGCAGCTCCTGCTGCAGGGTTACCCGTTTGGATATTATTTATAGCCAACAATTTTTTTTTTTTGTCTATTTGTGGACTAATCCACCAAGTGTAAATAGTATCTCGGTGTCCTTCAGTCACCCACATGCTCTGCTGCTGTTGCTCCATAAACAATGTGCACGCTCTGTAAATTATGAAGAATGACTGGTCACTGGTAGACGGACATTAAATAACTGGAATTCTAAAACCATCCAACCTGTCACAACTCTATGATTGATAATTTTAAGCACAAAAAGCATTTGTAAACCTATTTTTAGAATATAATATTAGTTGTAGATCCTTATAATGCAGTGATAAAGTACAATATTATATGCTAAAGGTTTACAAATGCTTTTTGTGCTTACAAGGTAGTAACTTAGTCTGAAATGTTTAATATAACAACTCTAGATGAAATATATAGGTTTGGCTCACTATTTGGCAAGAAACTGCTCAGTTTTGTCTCTCTGTCACTCTTAATTAATGCATAATAAGCAGTTATTAATGATTTATAAAGTGTTTATAGAGAAATTATTAACGTATCTTTAAACTATTTATTAGTATCTTTAAGGGGAAACTTATTGTAATGTGGTACCATTATTTTTGCCTCATATTCAGAAGTTTATTTTTACAGAAGATATGGTTCCTTAGAGAGTATAAGAGGTGGTTTCTAAATCTTTATTGAGGTTATTTGGAGTTATGAGCAGAACAGTAAAACATTTCTTTATTAAACAAAACTTGTGAAAATGGTTCTGCTGCAGTTTGATTGTTGGGATTTCCATATTATTCCACTTAAATTTCTACCAAGAAGACTGAATATTTTCCATGTCCTTGTGTAAAAGTCTTTCATCGCCCACGTTCGTCCATCTTGATCCATAAGGTCAACGCAGAGCGCATCCATTTCAGTTTTTACGTAGCTTTCTAAATTTATCTCTGAATTCCATTAATATTTAATAGCCTGCATGAGAGCCTTGTAAGCCCGTGCTGACCCAGCAAATGAATGCATGCAGCTTCAGTGGGCCCACTTTTTTCTGGGAAAGAACTCCAGCACTGAGGCCTGTTGGAGCATTTCAATGCACAGTGGGGGGAACAAGTTGTTTCTGTGTTCACTGTGTTGGAGATGGACTGTGACGTGTGCCTTCAGTGGGGGTGGGGGTTGTTTATGTCGAGTAGGGGAACTACAGAAGCAAAGTTTATCTGCTGGACTTAGAAATTAGGGTGCAGGTGTTCGACAAGGAGAACTGCTTCACCATAATTTAAATGTACAGGTGAAGGTCATAAAATTAGAATATCATGAACAAGTTTATTTATTTCAGTAATTCCATTCAAAAAGTGAAAGTTGTATATTATATTCACTCATTACACACAGACCGATATATTTCAAATGTTTATTTCTTTTAATGTTGATGATTTTAACTGACAACTAATGAAAACCCCAAATTCATTATCTAAGAAAATTAGAATATTACTTAAGACCAATTAAAAAAAAGGATTTGTAGAAATGTTGGCCAAGTGAAAAGTATGAACATGAAAAGTATGAGCATGTACAGCACTCAATACTTAGTTGGGGCTCCTTTTTCCTGGATTACTGCAGCAATGTGGCGTGGCATGGAGTAGATCAGTCTGTGGCACTGCTCAGGTGTCATGAGAGCCCAGGTTGCTCTGATAGTGGCCTTCAGCTCTTCTGAATTGTTGGGTTTGGCGTATCACATCTTCATAATACTCCGTAGATTTTCAATTGGGTTAAGGTCAGGTGAGTTTGCTGGCCAATTAAGAACAGGGATACCATAGTCCTTAAACCAGGTACTGGTAGCTTTGGCACTGTGTGCAGGTGCAAGTCCTGTTGGAAAATAAAATCTGCATCTCCATAAAGTTGGTCAGCAGCAGGAAGCATGAAGTGCTCTATTCCTGGTACATGGCTGTGTTGACCTTGGACCTCAGAAAACACAACAGACCAACACCAGCAGATTACATGGCACCCTAAACCACCACTGACTGTGGAAACTTGACACTGGACCTCAAGCAACGTGGATTGTGTGCCTCTCCTCTCTTCCTCCAGACTCTGGGACCTTGATTTCCAAACAACATGCAAAATTTACTTTCATAAGAGAACATAACTTTGGACCACTCAGCAGCAGTCCAGTCCTTTTTGTCTTTAGCCCAGGCGAGACACTTCTGACACTGTCTCTTTTTCAAGAGTGGCTTTACAAAAGGACTGTAACAGCTGAAACTCATGTCTTGCATACGTCTGTGCGTGGTGGTTCTTGATGCACTGACTTCAGCTGCAGTCCACTCTTTGTGAATCTCTCCCACATTTTGGAATGGGTTTTGTTTCACCATCCTCTCCAGGGCACGGTTATCCCTTTTGCTTTTACACTTTTTCCTGCCACATTGTTTCCTTCCCTTCGTCTCTCTATTAATGTGCTTGGACACAGAGCTCTGTGAACAGCCAGCAGAACTAGACCGAGAGACCATTTAAAGGCCTTTGCAAGTGTTTTGAGTTAATTAGCTGATTACAGTGTGACACCAGGTGTCTTCAAAATTGAACCTTTTCACAATATTCCAATTTTATGAGATACAGAATATGGGGGGTTTCATTAGTTGTCAGTTATAATCATCAAAATTAAAAGAAATAAACATTTGAAATATATCAGTCTGTGTGTAATGAATGAATATAATATACAAGTTTCACTTTTTGAATGGAATTACTGAAATAAATCAACTTTTTCATGATATTCTAATTTTATGACCAACACCTGTATATAAAAAAAAAATGTGCATCACTTTTAATTTAGCTTCTGTTTAGGCACTTCAACAGTATTTGTACTCAGAAATTTCTCCTTCCAGCATCAGACATGGCGATATGCAAATGTGCATCTGGCTGATGGACTGAAAACTCTGAAGGTGCATTTTTTTATTAGCAAGTCATGATGTGCGGTTTAAGGAAATCTCAGCATGTTGAGCCTGTTTTTCAATGATGCAGCTTTTAAACATCTGAATTTGTCAGTAAACACTATTTGGTTTTAGTGTGATCTCACGTCTTTATTACAAAATAAAGCATCTCAAAACGTTTGGTGAAGATAGTGACATGCCAACACCTTATTTAGTCCGTTTAAAACATCCAAGCTTTCATGAAAATGGGATCTTTCACTATTTTATCTCTTCTTATGAAATTAGGTCCATTTGCAATATTTTATTGCCACACATCCATCATCACATCCCTTCTCATAAGCCTTTTTTTGCAACAGGAATGGCACCATATCAAAATAAAATAAGAAGATAATAACATGAGGACAGATAAACACTAAGAGCTGCCTAACACCATCATATCCACAGACATAAACAGACTTCGCTGACAGCAGTTCTCAGTCATAAAACTGTCAGCAGGGGTCTGGCGAGCGCTGATAACAGATACTCGATGCTGTTGTGTAGATTGTATCTATCATGTTCCAACAGAGTCTCATGTGTGCCCAGTTCTTCAAACCCAATCATTTCCAAGCTAACTGGACCAATTCTCATGTGATGATTCTGTCTGATGTCAGTCAACAGCAGGTCTGCCTGCTGATACAAAGATTATGGGCTTTTAACCACTTGACTGACTGCAAACTTGGCAGCGTTAATTGATCCTGAACATATTTAAGATTAGTGTTTGTTTTTCTCGTTTTTGTCCCATCAACGGACAAGATTCTTAGAAACTCAAGAACTGAGATGAAAAACGAAGGGAAGAAGTACCAAAAAAAAAGTCTGTTTTTGAATTTCAGCCCTATGCAAATGAGAATGATGACTCATTCTGGAGTTGGACAAGGTTAAAATAAATAAAAGTTACGTTCACTGTATTAATATATATTTTTGTTTAATCAGGCTTACTTTAATTAATTTTGAAGAGTCGTCTTT